CTGCATTTTATTCTTTAAGAACACAGAAATTGGAGAAAACTGGGGCAAGAGTGACAACAACTGGGGTGCTGCAGCAAGTGGCCTGTGAGGCAGGGTGGAGCAGTAGAAAGGGCTCTGGCCCAGGAGCAGAGAGCCAATTTAGACCATTTGTGGGTGGTGGGACTTGGCCAAGCCAGCACTGCTCTTGGGAGCTGGTGACAGGACTCCCTGAGGATGCTCTCTGGCTGGTTCACTCTCCAAGCTTTTGGTCCTCTGAGCAGTGGGTGGCTTCCTCTCTTCTTATCTAACTCATCCAGGGAGAAGGCCTCCTGAGCACCCTTTTGCATTCTTGAAATGCCATTTACTTTCACAAAAATCTATACCAATTATTTTCTTTGAAATGCCTTCAAAAATACCCTTTCTTTGACTTCCTGGGAAGCCAAGATGGTGGTAATTCTCAACAACCTCAGCATATACGTCAATTATTGAGGCAGTAAAGTGAAATACCTAAGAGAATAAGTTATGAAATCTTACAGGTGTGAGTTTTAAACTCAGCCTTTCCTATCAGCTTTGCAAACACAAGCAAATTGGTCAAACTTTCTGAAACTCAGCTTCCTTTTCCACAAGATGGGCTTAACATCGGCTTATAGTGAGACAATACATGTCCAATTACATCACAATGTGAGACCAGGAGTAGATGCCGATAAATGCGACAGCTAATGTTACTATTACATTTACTACTACTGCTCCCTCCAATTCCTCTGGGCCAGGCCGTATGCCAGTACAGAAGACAGGGTTAGCGGGCCGGGGATTTAGCTCAGTGGTTCCACTACCTCCCTCGCAAGTACAAGGCCCTGAGTTCGACCCCCGGTACCAAAAAACAAAAACAAAAGCAGAAGACAGGGTAGAAAGCAAAACAGACAGGCACACCCCGTGCCTGCACCAAGCTGATTGTCTAATCAGCATGGTTCAGTTGAACTTTTCGGGATGAAGGAAATGTTGTACATGTGTCTTCTCCAACATGGTAGCCAAAACCCACACGTGGTGCTGCAGCACTAGAAACATGACTAGTGTGACCAAGGAACTGAATTTTTAGTTTAATTTAATTTTAAAGATGTACATGGCCTTGGAAAGAGCCACATGTGAGAATAGATAGCACAGCTGTAGGTGTCTTTCGGGTACATTTCTGAGACTGATCAAGATGAACAGAATAAAAATGTATTGAAAGAGAAATCCATACAAAGCACCTGGAAAATTCTCATTTGTTTATTCATTACATTTCATTGTCAGTTATACATCTATAAAATCTCATGTGTAGAGGGCACAGGGAAGAATCAGTCATGGCTTCTGCCCTCAGGGAGCTTGCCGTCTAGTGGGGGAGAAGTAAATAAATAATTTTACTGCAGTGAAGTGAATATATGCACGTGTACTATAGGTGCAGCTCAGAAGTCTAAACCCCAATGGACAGTTTTTTTTTCAGACAAGCTTTATTATAAGATGACATCAACTCCCACTATGGGATTTTGTAACAGCTTTGGATGTGGCTAGCATGCTGTGATTATGGCCAATGTGTGAAGAAGATCTTACTGATTGGTCAAGCTTGCTGAATTCGGATATTGATAGTGATGCCCATTCATAGGAGGGAAGATTAGCATAATTATTTGTGCAGAGAAGTGGGATGCTATGCACATTTATGTATTTTAAACAATAGTTTCATTTGCTCAAAATATAGGATGCTGGCCAGTCAAAGAATTCTGCAGCTGACAGTTGCTCAAATAAAAATGGGTATAGTTTTATGGTATGGCTTCCATACTCATCCTTGAGGTGAAAGGAGGGTGATGTGCATGACTCCTTCTCCTACAAGGGGTGGTCTTGTGGTGTAGCTGGGTCTTGTGAGAACCTCTGGGCAATTTGAATCCCTAAGGATCACCTGCTTTGACCCTTATGATAGAGTTCCCTCTGGTGAACAGAAGTGCTTTGGATAAAAAATAGTTTATATAGACCAACAGGGAATAACTGCAGGAAATATAAATCATAACACACTGAGAGTTTAAACTGGTGTAGCCCTTTTGAAAAATGGCTTCTCATGTATACTGGCAATCCTCAGTCATGCCCTTTGGCCCAGTGATCCTACTTCCTGCCATGTACCCAAAGTAAGCAACTGGAATTGTGTGCAGTAAAGACCTTGCTGTGGGTTTTTTGGTAGCTGCTAAGGAGAGGAAACAACTTAAATGATGAACAGCGCAATAACTTGCAGCCGGGATGAATGATCATGGAGGACTTTTGCTATAGCACCAATTAAGGGTGGGGGGAAGCAATAGCTCCAGATGCTAAGTGACCATACTTTGGGGTCAGACAGCCTGGGTGTGAGTTATGGCTCTGCCACTTACTAGCTGTGTGCTCTTAGCAAGTCACCTGAACTCTTTGCCATCCTAGAAAAATGCGGTTGATAATAATATACCTATCTCAGAGGAACTCTGAGGATTAAATGACATAATGAATATAAGATGCTTAACACCACCAAAGGTACATTTATTAGGTTACCTATATATGTTGGCCCTCTATGGACTGTATGACTTCAAGGCTTAGAAATAGATGGAAAGAGATAAGCCAATATATTAACAGTGTGGGGTCTGGTTGGTGGAATTATGGGCGATGTATTAATTTCTCCGCATACTTTTCAATTTCCCAAATTTTCTTTAATGCACACGAATTAGCTTTATATTAAAAGAGTATATCATAATGGTGTAACACAATGAGATATTTTTAAAAATAGAACTTACCCACAATGAATTAGCATTTCCCTTTCCTTTTCTCCTTACCCTTCCAGGGGAGGAGCTGGAGCAGCCCAGCCCGGGCCTCTGACAGTGTCGGGGTGGGGGGTCCTTGACACCTGTGGAGGGTGCTGCCTGGGGAGTCTGAGCAGAGGGGAAACTGGAATCCGCTTTCTTAGCGGTTCCTCCCTCGCATCTCTGAGAGTCTACATTCCAAGCTGTTGCGATGTTTCTTCTCGCCCCCATAATATGATTGATTTGAACCAAACACTACCTAAAACTGTAAAGTAGGAAAGCCTCATCTACTGGCTTCCAGCCCAAGACCCCTCCTAGAAGGTACTTGTAATATCGTCCGTAGATGGACTAACACATGAAAGACCAATTGGCAAAAAAGGACTTAGATCAGGAGAACACCAGAAGTTAGCTGAGTACCAGTCGTTGTAACGAGTATAGTTTATATTCAGAGAAATTCTGGCAAAAATAGCCCTCTCTAGCACGACAAACAGCGAAAATACCTTCCTGCGTCCCCCGAAAGTCCCCGGAACCAGAAGGCCAGAAAGCATATAGGGGTGTGAGCGCGCGCTGGCGTTTCTGACCAAACCTTGCCATTTGCGCCCTCTGCTCAGATGTCCTTCATTGACAGAGAGGGTGTTTGTGGTTAGCAAGTGGCTCTGAGAGCGGCATTTTATAAACAGGGAATCCCAGGCGCCGAAATGACGAGGTCGACGCCCCCATCCGGACCAGAGGGGCAGTTTCCGGTCGTGTCCGGACCGTTGTCCCTCATCGCGCCTGGAGGTGACCGCTGTACAACCCCAAACCCACGGTGCGTCCCCCAGCCCCCGAAACGAAAGCAAGACGAGCAGCCCTGTCCCCGGGCCCTGCTCCCCCAGCGGGGTCACAGCGCGCGCTCACGAGGCCAAGGGACAGGAGCGCCCCCGCGACTCGGCCACAAATCACCTTCGCGACGCCGCAGCCCCCAGCCGCGGGCGGAGACCCCCGGCCCAGAGCCCCACAGCCCGGTTTCTCCGTGTGGCCAGCGTCACCTCTGCCCCGTCCCGAGCTCTCCGCCGCAGTGATGGCGAGGCTGGAGGCGGCGAGTCCGAGTCACCTGTAGGGCTTTTTACAACTCCATAGCCCCCTCCCCAAACTCTAGATCCCTGGTCCAGAGGAAGAAGGGAGCAATCGCAGGAGCTGCAGGGTAGGTAAGCTGCACCGGAGGTGGAGTTTTCAAAAGCCCTACAGGTGATTCGGGATGCGCAGCCCCCAAGCCCCACCGACGCCCGACTCGGACTGGGCAGGTCTCGACCCTCTCCTGCTCTGCAGCTTTCCTCTAAGCGCGTCACCCCACAGGCTTCGCGGTCGGACCTTAGGGAAAATGTCCCCTGCTCTTCGCACCTCTCACGCTGTCCGGATCGCACGCCGGGTGCCAGAGCCAAGGTGAGACCGGGAGGGGACAGAGCAGACCAGTTGCTTGGGCGAACTGCCCGCAGCAACGCCGCCTTCCTTTCGCGAGTCTTTGCCACCCGGTGGCCTAATCGCCGGGAAGCCTGAGCCTTCCCGCCCGAGTCCGCAACCCTCCGCGGAGCATCCTCTCCAACGGGGCTCGGTGGCAGGTGGCACTGTCAGGGTGGGCTCCGTGACCTCGTCTGCAGCCCCTCTCCTGACCAAGGGACCGGCCACTTCCTTGTCCTCCTTGCCCAAGTTGCTCCACTCCCCCGCACCCCCAAACTCGAGACCTCCTCCGTCGCACCGGCAGCGGTCGGTCTTACCTCACCAAGCAACACTTGGTTGCGCGGTTGCCCGGGGCGCTCCTTCCTCACAGTTTATTCCCTTACTTGGGAGGAAAAGAGGAACCGAGAGGCAGAAAGGGGACCGAAGCTGGCGTATGGGCGTCTTCCCGCCCGCGCAGCCCTCTGGTGGGGGGGCAGCCCCGGGGCGCGCGGAGATCGGGCGATCCGCCTGCGGCCAGGCAGCGCCGGGGTCCTCGGCCTCTGCTCAGGGATCAGCGGTTCTCTCCGGCGGTCTGTCTCGGCCGCCCGCTACTACGGCACTGCGGCTCTGCGCCCTGTCCCTCGCAGCCTGGCAAGTCCAGCTGCCACTCTCACTGCGGAGCTCTGCCCCCGGGCGCAAAGCCCGCCCCCGCCACACACACGCGCGCGCATGCACATGCTACACACACACACACACACACACACACACACACACACACACACGGAGGCGCGAGCGCGCCCGCGCGCGCCCACACACCAATGCGGATCCGTTCAGTGGGAAACTGCGTCCCTTTGGTGCAACTTGGGCGCGGGCATCATGAGGGCGCTTCTTCCTGGCAGCACTATGGTTTTCGGAGGAGGAGAAGGAGGAGGAGGAAGAGGAGGAGGAGGTGGAGGAGAAGAAGTTCGGGGTTTGGGGGGTGCAGAAAGGACTCAGCAGTCCTGGGGGCTAGAGGCCAGCTCACCTGGAGGCGGAGAACACATGTTTGACCAAATATCTCCCATGGCAATTCCTTTTCTCAGCCTAGAAACCTCGGAGTCTGGTTTAGCTTAAATATCCCAACCAAATCAGAGAAAAAAATATATAAATAAAAGATCAAGAAGTTCTGTTTCCCAGGAACTCAATGCCCCTAGTGTCCAGATCACCAGCCCTGTTGTGTGTGTGGGTGTGTGTGGGGGGTGCCTCTGACAACCCTGGCTGGGTGGCAGTAGACTGATGGCATTTCAGGGCCGTCTTCCTAAATTCCCCACTTTACTTTCAAGTGACACTGGACTGTTTTCCTGCAGAGCAAGTAGACCACTTCTTTAAAAAAATCTAGAAAAGCACAGAAAGTGGGCTGGAAGAGAGGGGTGAGGAATGGCGCAGCGGCCCTGGCCCAGGCACTGGGACTTCTGCTGCTTCTTTTTCCATGACGTGCATGTACGCATGTTGGTGGCGATGCTATTTCAGGCATGTCACACCAGCAGGATGACTTCTGTCCATTTCGCACAACATTTAGAGTCACCGGGAGTTTAGACTCTCATCTGTAAAATATGTGCAGTTTACTAGTTTCCACAGCTGAGAATTCTTTTCTGCCAGCAGGCAGTGAAGGTCCCTGGGCCAGGACGGTAGCCAAGAAAAGCTTTCTGCAGAGTGCAGAGGTGCTGAGGGTCCCTGGGTGTCTGGGCACTGGGGGAAGAAGCTGCAATGTTGTGTTAAATAGCCCCGAGGACCCTGACGGTCAGTGCACACACCGGGCCACCTGCGGGCAAGGCTCACGGGACAGGAGAGGATCTGAGACTCAGCGACATCTCCAAGGTTCCACCTGGTGACAAAGGCAAAGCTGAAAGCAGCATTCTGTGCTCCTCCTTCATCCAGCCACCCACCATTCACACTCTGTCCCATCCCCCAGCTTGGTTCTCAAAGCTTCCTAAATGAGACTGAAAGGCATTTGGTGAAGGTGCTCTTTTATTAGTTCTTCCTCCATCCTTTCTTGTTTCCTTTTCCCTCACTGACTCATTCGTTTCACAGTTACTTATGAAGCTCCTACTTTATCTTCAGGTACTTTCTCCTGACTCCAGTCTTGGGCCTTCCTTGGGAATGAAAGAGGGGTGGAGAGACAGAAAGGGCTTGAAATTGTTCCCGTCTAGTTCTTGGCAGAGGAAGAACCTGGGCACGAGGCTACCCTGTTGAATAGATGTGGAAGATTCCATCTTGAGCTTCTGAGCTGTATCTTTCACGGAGGAAAACGCTCTCCGGTGTATCACAAGAAAACCATCCTGGCTCTGTCTGTTCTAAAGGAGGCTACACAGAAGGGAAGCATGTATTTAGCTGTATGAACAAAGGATGGATGGTTGGAGGTGGGAGTTGGGGCAACATTGAATGTTCTGCCTGTTAGAGTGGGAAGAGAATAAGTTGGATGGGATGGATGGGAAAGACACACTAAAGTAGAGTGGAGAGCTTCAACTTGGTTGGGATTGGGTTGAGGAAGAATAGCGAAAGAAATTCTGAGGACGGAGCTGCAAAGCAAGGATTTGGAGAGTGGAAATACTTGCACAGATTGGCAAATAGTTTGCTGCACAGTGGAATATACAAGTACTCGCTCCTATAAGATATGTCACTTGTGAGGTTAATATTGTTCACCTGGTTTGTTTGTGAATGGATTTTTTTTGGGGGGGATAATTCTGGGCAGTGAGGAATCAAGCACCTGAGTAGATGTACAGTGATTACACAGAGGGCTAAGAGACTGTGTGGATCCCGGTTTGCATGAACGTGTGAGACCTTCAAGGGTTGTGTGAGAGGCAAAGAGGGATGGGGAAGTATCTGATGCCACCTTTCCTCATCAGAATGGAGAGCCTAGAAGGACTGTGGAGAGACGGATTTTGTGAGCCTTACAAGGAGCCCCAGCTCCATACAGAGAGCTCGCTGTACAGAGCAGCCAGCCGAGGGGCTGAAATCCGCCCCATGCTCCATGTGTCCATGCATCCTAGCAGGGCTGTCTGTCCAGAGGGAGGGTGCCTTTTCTCCATTTTGCACAGGGCCCCTGCAGCTGAGCTTTTTTATTTGAGAACTTTGGAGCCATGTTGCAACCAGAGGATTTGCTGAGCGTTTGCTGTCTGTGAAGACCAAGGTACAGTGGGAAGAATCTAGAAGCGGGAGCTCTGAGCCTGCTCTTATCTCTGTTCTTCTGTGGAGCTCCACAGTACGCTGTAGGATACGGAAGAGGAAGCTTGATTCCTGTCCTCAGAGCGTCTGCAATCGGGGTCAGCGATGACACAGTCAAAATGGTTAAGAAGCAATAAAAGAATCACGGAACTGAGCGCCAAGTTGTACAGTGGATTCTCAGGGTGTGTGCAGGGAGACCAGCGCGGGGCTTGGGCTTTGAGAGGGCCGGATGTGGGAGTGGAGCATGTGCTGGTTCTAGGTTATGGAAAGAGCTGTGAGCAAAGGGCTGGAGGCAGGGAATCGGGGCGGGGGGGGGCGCATTCTGAGCACAGGGTTTGAGGCCCCTTGTCTTGCTTAATGCCCTTCCTAGCCTTCTGAGGAATCAGTCACCCTCGGTTCTGAGAGACAGGGCAGTTTGGATAAAAGGCGACCCCTTCCATTCCCCGCAGCTTCAGGGTCAGCAGCTTACACTCACAGTGCCTCGTCTCCACCCCCAGAGCAAGGCAAGGGCTGAGTCGGTACCTTCGTCTGCAGTTTTAACCCTGAGTGTCTCTGACAAACCGAGTGACACTTGGTCGGGGGAGCACAGCTGAGAACCAGGCCACCAAGCACAAGGTGGGCTTGGCGCCTGGGGAATGGGAGACCTGAGCTCAGGTGGCGGGCTCTGCTTTCCTTTCTAGGCCTGGTCTTTCTCACACACACACAAAGCAGACCATCGAGCCAGAATATCTACCAGCTCCCTCCCTGCTAATGTTGCACGAGTCCGAAGTTAATAGGATCTTTCTGTTTCACCCAATGATGACAGGGTGGGAACTGGAATTAGTTGGGACTTAACTGTAACTTTCCTCTTGGGGTTTGTTCATGCTGGCTGTTTCTAAGAGGGGTTCTAGTATTGTGGGGAGGGACAGAATTGTCACAATTTTGACATGATAGGATTTGTGGGTCCAGACTGGGTCGACCGCTCTAGGGTTCAGGCTTTTCATTTTTTTCAGGCTTTTAAAAAAAAAAAAAAAAAAATGCAGGTAGCCGGTCGTGATGGTGCATGCCTTTAATCCCAGCACTTGTGAGGCTGAGGCAGGAGGATTGCTGTGAGTTTGAGACAAGCCTAGGCTACATAGTGAGGTCCAGGTCGGTCTCAACTACATAGTGAGACCCTGTCTCAAAAACAAAAAACAAAAAACAAATGCAGGTAGAATAAGGAAGTTGGAAAATATCTCTACAATAGTTTCTGGCTCTGATGCTCTGTTACGTACTGTCAACAGAACAAATGCTACTTATTGTCTGTTCACACAGGTTTGTACCCCTCTGTAAGGCAAGGTGGGAAAATCGCCACAGGAAGCCTGGGGGAAAGCCAGGATTTTAAGAATAATAAGTAGACCATTTAGATGGAGTTGAAAGATTGAAATCAGTGTTGCCATACCTCAATTTAGTCTTCTGTAAAATGAGGACAGACACACGCCCACTGAGGAGTGGGGCAGTGATTAGATGAAGATGCTTCTGTGTAAAAGCTTGGTCAGTTTTGGAAGTGTCGCGCAAAAACGTAAAGTACCATGATTAAAGACAGTCAGTGCTCTTAAACAGTTTGTGAAAACAACCCCCTTCCCAAAAGCTCAATTATGTTATTTGCTCACTTGTCTGCTTCCTAAGAAACAGTAATGTAATTCAGGTCAGCAACTCTGTCTCCACGCTCCTAAAGATAGAAGTATTTTAACATGAAAACCTAATAAAGGAGCTGGCAGACTTCTGGACGGACTAATAGACAGGTTTCTGACCTGCCCCTTCCTGGAACTTGGCAGTGGCACTGACACTACACAAAGTGCGTTTCTGGGCCACCGAGACTCAGTTTCCCGGAGAGTGAGTGGGGCGCCCACCCATCCAAGGTCCCGATTTATTGCCTATCAGGAGATGGATGATGCAAAGAAGGGAAGGAAGCAAGGACTGGGAAAAAGAAGGGAGAAGCCTCCTGCCCTCCCACTGTACTTTGAGCGTTGGACTCTAATCTTTATGCTTTACCATGCTTGTGCAGTGGCTAATTTTGGTTGCTACGTCGCTCCAGGTCTGATTTGTGCCCTGCGTGGATGGGAGTGGCTGCTGTGGAATGCATCACTGTAGTTCCCGGAGGGAAAGCTTTGCATGGGGAAGGCTGAGAGGAACTACAGGGAGGAAAAGGTTCTAATTCCATAAATGACCAGACTCTCTGAAGCCTGCCTGACCCACAGAACTTTTGAGACGATCTTTTCATTTTTAGAAATACTGGCCACTTCTTTATCTTTTGCCCACCAATGTGGGGGTACAAAGTGTCCCAGCATGTGAGAAATTGAGGGAGCCCCTAAGGGCTGGCACTTTGCTGATCTACTTTTCCTGCTGCCGTCAGAGTTGTTTTCTGAAAATATAGGTCCCAGAATCCTTCTTCTGTTTAAAAGCCCAGAAAGCCTCACATTCCTCATCTGTGCAATGGGGGTCAGAATGCTTACGTGTAGGCCTTTGCCAGCCCTAGGAGAAGTGTTTACAAACACTCTAGCAGTGTCAGTCACACAGCAGGGTCCTGATAAATAGACCAGTGTTTGGAATTCCTGCTTTACCATAAAGTAAATGTCCCCTAAAATGGCCCTGTGTGAAGGGACCGCAGCCTGCTCCTCTCTTACACTTCCGGTAAGTGATCAGCTTTGTCTTCCAAACGTGCCCTCCCTCTCC